TTCGTGCAATGGTAAGAATATTTTCATTCGGTGAAAGATGAAATGTTCCATTCAACTCGGCTGTCGCCTCGTTGAATGGAACATTCCATCTTTCACCTCATGAAAGTATTCTTACCATTGCACTCATAAACATTCATTATTTGTATATTATATAATACCTTATTAAATTCTAATCGTTTAATTGGCTGTTTATGGTCACGTGATATTGAATAGAAAATTCCATTTCCCAAGAGTGCAATGGAATAAAACGTATAGTACAATTGCACTCGTTGTGTTTTCGATAAATCGCATCCCTCAAAATGCTTCTCATACGAATCTATTAGTCTATTTTGGTATTATATAAAACAAATAATGAATGTTTCTTCGTGCAATGGTAAGAATATTTTCATTCGGTGAAAGATGGAATGTTCCATTCAACTCGGCTGTCGCCTCGTTGAATGGAACATTCCATCTTTCACCGAATGAAAATATTCTTACCATTGCACTCATAAACATTCATTATTTGTATAATATTTCACGGCATGGTTTACTTTCCAAATCCCGTTGAAGATATAAGAAGTCCATTAAATAAATAATGGTTATAAGTAAGCTTATATAGAGAGATCCCAGACGCATGTAGAGGTCCTATTACCTATCCCAAAATTAAAATAAATCGGGAATAAATCACGTAAAATTAAACAATGTGAGAAAGTAACGAAATACTTCGCCACAAAATGATAATGAAGTAAAACGTTGCTTCTTAAAACGACTTCGTTCCAAGTAAAAGTACTCCAGAAAAACTTTACTTTGTTACATGCTGACTTCTCAAAAATAGCTCTCAAGTACAGTAACGAAGTACATTTACTTCGTTACTTGACTTAAAGGTTTGAATAAAGCAAATCATTAAAAATATACATGGTATAGCATGGCCTGTGCTATGGCTAGCTCCGCCACTGCAAATCAGAGTTCCTTTTATGATTTATGTCAATCAAGACCCACTGTAAAATTAAAGGAAGAACTCTTGGAAGAACTTGATCATACTGTCATTTGGGACGCAACTTTGCCAGTTTGATTCAGAAATGCAGTCGCGAAACCTCAAACGTAATTTTTAAATCTCTGAATTTATTTTAACATTATAATTATATCACCAGAGTTCGGCTGAAATTCAAATTCTGGTAAATTACTTTAACCCCCCTCCTCAACTTCAGGTGCTTCGTATATTTTTATAAATCCACGTCTATTTTTACTTTTCTTATCAGGGCGGTTTAAACAGACATTTTAAAATTTAATATCTAATTGGTATCCAGCTAATGTTTTTTTTCTTAACGTTTTCATTAAATTGAAAGTTTTTGTGAGTTTATTTTCTGATGGTTTAGCGATAATTCGCACAAATTTAAGTTAATAATTTTATAATGTTAGGGTACGTGCTACGTGTCCTCGATACAACTAAATAACTAATAATTTAATACAAGCACAGCTATAAGCAAATACCTTGGTACCGAAGTAATATCAGCACATTTATCAGCCATAACGTTTCCGTAGCTTGCATTTTGCTGACAATATAACTTATAAGCGTGTTAGCTTCTAAATAGAAACTGGAAGAGTTTTAAATTAAAAGTTAAACTTAAAAAGATCGCATTTTGTAAAACTTTCCTCAGTAATAGGAACTGATTATTCATGTATGCTTTTAATGTTTGCATGAACAAAGTGATGTGTACTGTGGAAAAGAAATAATTAAATTTAAATTATCGAATGCAACATGCTGATGAGTGTTGATTTACCGACTGTAACAGTCAACATAATACGTAGTCCGCGTTAATAGAGAGCAGAATACATACGTATAATTTGTAACAAATAACACTCCCCAAATTCAGAATTTCGGCAACCTGCGGTCGCACAAGGATGAAATTTGTGAAGCGAGGGTTTGCATCAGCGGAGTTTTCTCACCTGATATTACAGGTCAAACGAGCAAAAACTCTCATCAACTCTCATCCTTGTTGGCCTTGTTTGAACTTATGCATTTTCTTTGTAAACAATGACGGAAAAGGCTTGGCCCCAGTCACTCATCCCGCGTCGAATAATGGAAATACTTAGGTCTGTGGGCGAAATTTTGTTTACAGCACTCCAGTGAATTTGCATTTGAAGTGAATTCTGTAAGACGCATCATGATGAAAGTAAAAACAAACCAAGCATAGTATTAGTACTGCGTGATAGCACTACTGCGCGGTGCCCTGAGCATGCGCAAACCAAGTACACCACAAGCGTAAAGACATACTATTTTTTAATGAATATATACCAAGGAATCAGACCAACAAACTCACGCAGCGAATATAAATCGGTAGCATATCCAGCGCAATTTAAATTGTTAGCAACTAAAATAAATATAACTGCAATAGTTTTTTCGACACGTTCCCATATACAACAGTACATTAAGCATATCTTAAGCAATTTTTTTTTACGACCAACGACGACGTTGTCAATTTCAAAGATTCCAAAGAAACTTTTGGGTCAGGATATTCCCCAAATAATTCCCATAGTTTATTTTGCAAAGCACATGTTTTACATTTATTCATTTGCTGCATGTGCATGCATGTAAGGACGTATATATATATCGAAAATACATCCTTTCTTTGCCGGCCTTTCGGAATGTGTATAGATCGAGTATGCACATATAGTATATACATTTGTACATGTACGATTTGCAATAAAAACACTGCAATCTGCATGATTCATGTTTAACTGGTTTGGCAGACATTCACAGTGCATTTAATTAAAGAAACCACTGCAGTTACTTCCTACTTTTTGTACAAATAATCTGCATGTTTTACTCTTCGGTACAAGACAAATGACTGAACCAGTCCGAGCGAGTTGAAATTGTTAAAGTAGCCGAATCCATGACCACGAAGCTATTTTGAACTCCACCTAAAACTTAAAAGAGATTTAATCGTGTATATAGTCTATATATACTAATTAAACCACTATAATAGTCAATACGTTTTATTTAACTCATCAAGAAGGGTTGTTATAACTCGAGTTATAATACGGAACAGCCCTAATTCCCTAAATTGCTAAAGGTTTAACTCTACCAAAAGGCAAAAAGGAACTGGAGTCATGCGGAGTAGCAGAGTTAAAATGGCTCCCTAAAAATAAGTGTATCGACTATCGTGTATAGTGCATTAACCACAAATAATTATGCAACTTAATTTAACCGAAATATATAAAAATCCACTAATTATTGAGACACAATATAATGCCGCGAATATGATTATAGAATTGTAAGTATAATGTGCATGGAGGTCTGAACTATTGGAAAATCCGGCGTGTTAGTGGTGTTACACATGCAGCTAGGTCAGTATATTTTCGGATAAAGTCATAATTTACAAATCATGTCTCGCCGAACTATTTAAATTAACTTGTCTTGGCACAAATTTGTTTTTAAGCAGTCCGTAATTTGTCGGCCACCGCATGGATAAAAACAATCAATTAAAATTTCCTGTAAGAAATTAAATATATGTATATTTACGGATATTTAATTCACTCTTCAGTTTTTTTTTGAATTGCGAGGCTTCTAAACTTATATATCAGTAGACAGTATATAACACCCTGGCTAACAGCATGCATGTCAACTATAGTTTTTGCAGCATTTGAAGAGAATTAAAACTTTCTTGAAAAGAACAATCCGGCAATGGCAATGACACTGAAAACTTAAGTATAAGGCTAATTTTTGCTTTGTGACTTATCTTTCAAACTTTTGAAATTATTGGCGTTTTCGGCACACCTGGTCCATGTGTTTTAGCGTTCATATTAGAAATTTAGCACCTGGTATAGCCAGCCAATCAACGGCCCGCAGTCATGGGATGCTGTGCAATTGTTATGATTTTGATAATTGTTTAAAAACGCCGCCGATAATAAAGCCCGCGTGTAAATTATCATGGGCACAATACTTCGCTAAATAATCAAAAACAAAAGAATAAAATCTGTATAAGTGTTGACTTATAATTTTGTTGCGAGTTAAAACAAGATTATACGCGTTTTGATTTGGAAACAATGAAAATGTCGGATTATGATTGACTACCAATCGCTGATAATCCCGTTAAATTTTATTGCCCGCGGATACAGCGTTATTCGTTAATTTTCTACGCATGACTATTATCCTAATGTGCGAATTATTTTCCCTCGAGATAAACACTCTGTAAATAGGTTAAAACAATCATATCATCGATGGGGTGCCACCCCCAATCAACATAGCTTCATTAAAAGGCTGAGTGTTATTTTAAATCATCCAGCAACCGAAATTGTGCGCTTTAAGAAGCTCGTACATTTGAGAACAAGTTCAGTTGTAGTGTGTATGTAGCAAAGTGACAATGGCGAGCTCAGTAGCTTCTAGTCCCTATTCAATTGCATCGTTGATAGCCTCAGATCCAGTAAAACCGAAAATGGGGTCTTCTATCAGCCCAATGGCAATGGAACAGGCGTCCTCTTCAGAGCCAGATGTGGAGCATTCTAGCGGCCAAGCAGTTTTGGAAAACGAAGGCAAATCCCAACCGAAATCTACCAGTAGATGTTCATGTTTTGCATGCACACAGCCTTCAGCATTCTCGCCTTTTAAAAACGCCTTTGGTCCTGGGAGCGAAGTGAACCCTTTTTCATCCATTCCAAGTGTGAGGTCATTTGCGGATTACGTTTACATTCCCACAAAAGGTTGGTAGAAACAATAACCGTTGCTTTGCGTTTGTAAGATTACTTCAATGGCGCAATCGTTGAGCTGCGTCGTTCGCAATTCATCTTTAGGTCTCTAAGGATGATTAGCACACACCACTTACTAACTTATATACTACAATTTAATTTCCTTAAGTTTACAAAAATTATCTATAAAATATATCAGTTGATTATATTGTAATATTAAACTCTGTTGTCGGAAAAGACAAGCCGTCATTTTCAGACCGTGTTCAGAACAAGAAATCTTCGTGCTCATCGTTTACAAATACTGAAATCCAAAATCATGCAGAAATTTCTAACTGAGTCCCTTACACGGCAATCCTATGCTTGGTTTCTGGCCGTCAGGGGACGATCGAGTGCCGAGAACCCTAATTACGAGTAACGGCTGGAAATCGAGCCTGTAGGCAATCCCCATGCAAAATCATTCAAACTCATGAAGATCTCTTTCAAACGGCGGCAAATTAATCGAAAAATATCAGTCAAATAAATATTGAAAACCAAGAATTTGATTAAAATCCCGAAAATTTTCATATACATTTGAGATTAATACACCTATCGAATCATATCTCGAATTAGAATATAAACTCGCACGGTCTGTGCCAGCGCGGGTATAGTGAGAATAACGCCAGATCGATGCGGATTGAGAGGGATCCAACATCTGAAAAATTATCAAAAATACAAGCCAAACTTCAACGTTTTAAGCGAAGGCTCTTCGTGGGGAAGTTACTGCTACTTAGTAAGTACTACTAACCACTACTTAGGGGCGGACCATTAGAAAAGTGAAGGGGGGAGGGGAAGCAAAAATAAAAATCGAGCAGGCAAAACAGAAAGAAAAATTCGTGCACCAAAAAAGATTGGAAAAAAAATTCGTGCAAGGGATTATATTTAAAAAGATTATCGACACAAGCACACAATTTAAAACAATATTCGTACAAGTTGAAAAAGTCCCCCCCCCCCATCACTTTTCTAATAGTCCGCCCCTTACTACCAACCACTACTTGCTACTAACCACTATACTTACTTACTACTACTTACTACTTACTTTTAACTTCCGCACGAACGGCCTTCGCTCGAAACGTCGAAGTTTTGCTTGTATTTTTCAGGTAATTGAATCCTCAGCTTTCCCATATTTCGACTGATATACTATTTTTTCCTTGATTTCCTACCTCATGCACAGTTTCGTCGGCAAAGAAAAAGAAGAAGGAGAGCAAAACTCGACGTCAACGAACAACTTTCACAAGTGAACAAACATTGAAGCTCGAGCTGGAATTTCATCAGAATGAATACATCACGCGTTCGAGAAGATTTGAACTTGCTGCTTCGCTCAAGCTCACGGAAACACAGGTATGAAAGATGAAAGTACTATAAAGAGGATGGACGAGAAGCAGATTTTCAAAATGGCGGCTATATTTTTCGTGATCGTTAAAACGCAAAAGAATCAACAACCAGGCAGTTCTAACATTCTTAAACCTTACCTTAATAAACGCAACCCTGAATCTAACCCTTATAGGCGTGGAAGAGGGGGTGCGCTGAAAGGCTGCAGCCTAAGCGGCCAAATGATTAACGAAAAGAGCGGTTTATTTATCTTGCAGTAAATGTACAAGACTACTAGTATATATATATATATATATATATATATATATATATATATATATATATATATATATATATATATATATATATATATATATATATATATATACGAGTAGGTTTGTGATATATAGACGAGTAGGTTTGTGTATACGAAACGCAAAGAGTGCTCAATATCATAAAGATAGAGCAAATGTAGAATTTCGCTTACCTCAAAATTCCGCAACAGTCTGTTTCATCAGTAATATATATATATATATATATATATATATATATATATATATATATATATATATATATATATATATATATATATATATATATATATATATATAAAATCAGTAACATCATTTCCTCACTCTGATAACTGGCAGTTGACCAAAATCTGTCTCACGATAGACGGACAGTACTTAGTGAAACATACCTATATTCAATAACGAAATAGCCTGCCAAGCTCGACGCTATTAAGATGGAGGTGTGCTGAAATTAAAACTGAGGATGCCGGCCTTGACTACTGCTACCAGAATGCTTTGCGAGTTTCGTTATTTTAGTATTAGGATCACTAGCTTTCAGCCGAAGCATAGCCTATATAATCTGGAATTCTGGTTTCCCTGATAGTTCTCTGACCAAGATGTTTTTCTAAATTGTTTTGAATGAAAACTTTATTGAATGAATGGTGGTAAGGGGCGGGGTTCTTAAATTTGCGATATAATATTACGAACGTTGGTAAAATAATAGAAGTGTCGCAGATGTTTTGTCCAGGATTGCAGGAGCAACTAGATTAAAAATTTAGCTAGAATTATTAACTTCTGCCTGTTCATCGATTTATAAATACCCTAACTATTTTTCATGTTTTATAGGTGAAAATATGGTTCCAAAACCGACGGGCGAAAGACAAACGAATTGAGAAAGCACAACTGGATCAACACTTTCGAATTTCGGGATACCCTACCGGGCTTTTGTACCACCGTGCAGCTTATTATGGATTCTGTAATTCTTCGCCTTATTATAAAACACCTACGACTCCTGACTCAGCAACTTTGTCTACGCAGCCAGCATTGCTATAAAGAACAAATATCACACAAATATAATTTATTTGAATGATGCAAATACTGTATACAGGGGGCGTAGGGATAAATTATCCCTCCCACCACCTCATCTTGCAAATGCCATTGCCCCATCCAAATTAAACAATGCCAAAAGGAAAGTGTCTTTAAATGTACCTTAACACGCTTCGATTTGTCTTGTACGATTCGTATCCTGGCTTGAAAAATACCGTTGACGCTACAATCCTTCTTCGTTTCGTTTATATTCAACCACTTTCGCGTGCTTATTCGATTACATACGCCAGAATACGAATCATGCACGTACAACACATCGTTATATAACTTATATATATATAAACGATGAACACGTATTCCACTTGTTTTGAGATGCGGAGCGTACATACGAACAAATAAAACACGTACCTGTCTCGGACAAGAAGATCTTGTTCGCGTGTATACTGATCATGAACCTTAAAGACAGGTCATGTCTTTTCTTCGCCTGTGCAATCTCGTAACCAGAGTCATCATCGATTCGTTGAGCGGCTCTGGTCACGAGATTGGCGCATGTAGTTATGTGAGGACCCTCTGCATAATGTAGACAATATATATACCCAAATTTCGCGTTGTTTCGACATTTTCTAAATTGAAACTCTAATCTATATTCATTTAAAATAAAATGTTATTGTAACATATTATTATATGATTTGAAATAATAGTTGTGTGAGATTTATATTTGAACAGTTGTTAATTTAATTAATAATTAATGAACTCACTGCAAGTGCTTGAGAACAAGGCAGCGAAGATCATTCTAGACCTATACACCCGCGATATTCTTCAGCATTAGGAGAATTCAAATGGGCAACTCTGACAACGAGAAGACATAACCACAGATGCACGTTTATCAACAAATGTACAGTATGAATGGTTTAATGGACCATTTGCATTATAGACTAAATTTTGATCTAGACAAAAATTTCATCACAGCTTGAAAGAGCATCACAAAATTAGTAATATTCCAAAGTTTCGTTGCGAAATATTGTAAAATGCGGATAATATAGCCTTGTGAAATTTGCAATTTCCAGCCATTTTGTATTTATACAAACGGGAAATTGATGCCCCAACACCCGATTGGGCTGTCAATTTCCCGTGCGCGTAATACGAAATGACTGAAAAACGGCAAACTTTGCAAGGTTATATTATCCGCATTTTACAACATTTCGCAACAAAACTTTGGAATATTACTAATTTGTGATGCTCTTTCAAGCTGTGATGAAATTTTTGTCTAGACTTGTTTAGACCAAAATTTAGTCTATAATGCAAATGGTCCATTGACTTTGATTTTGAATTGGCAAAAAACGAAGAAAATTCTTTCCCCTTCCTCATTGGCTTATATGCATATTTCTCATAACTTAATCCATTTGGAAAACTCAACATCCATGTAAGAATAAATCTACCGTAATCTCTGTAATAAACCTCCCTTTCGGGGGTCCAGCCCTCGGCAAACTCTAGCCCTGGGCAAACTCTAGCCCTGGGCAAACTAGGAAACATTGTTGCGGCAACATTGTTTTCTGCCAATGTTTCGCCGTGTTTCCCAGAGTGGGCAAACACTAGGAAACATCAGTGAGAAACATAGGGAAACATCAAATGTTTCTGAAATTGGTAGGAAACATTTTTGCTTCCCGGGAAGCAAATTTTGTTTCCGCAACAATGTTTCCACGGCACGGGTGGGCAAACATGGAAACATTTCAGGAAACATCAAGAATCACAAATGTTTTCGCAACAATATTTACTAGTTTGCCCAAGGCTTTACTGTAATCATTCTACTAAGCCCTCTTTGAATAAACCTCCCACCTTAATAACTCCCCCCCCCCCCTAGACAAAGAAATTTATTCATTTCCGTCTCAGTTTAGGCCAATGAAAATTGATATCATGTTTCTCGTCCCCGCCCGCATGGGATTTATCTGCCGCACGCAAATTTTTTCATTATTCATTATTTTTCAAAAATAGGCTTAACAAAACACCAAATTGATCTCCAGATCAAAATCTTATTGCTGCATTCCGCAAGCGCAACTCAAATTGTATCTTTCTAAAGATATTACTCGCCAGAATGCCTCTATTTTTCATGTCAGCGTATGTATAGAAATATACTGTAGTGTAGGAAGTATTAAATTAAAATGAATTATACACCGATTTACTTCAGATTTTTATGGGGGTTTTTACTGGGTCAAGGAAATTATTAACAAGCAGAATTCAAATACAAAAAAATAATGAAAAATGAAGAAAATCCCGCTCCAAATTTTTGAAAATTGTGGACGAGAAACATGATATCAATTTTCATTGGCCACCTTACTTGGCAAAAAACCCAGAAGTCCTCAGGCTGAAGATTACAGTAATTTCAAAATATATAATCTTGCGACGATAAAGTAATATCACCAAAATGTAATATTTTAAACCTTATTTTGTTACACTATAAAGAATCCAATATTAAATATTAACACAATTCTAACCAAAAACAACAGATTATTACAAAATGATCTTAGTTCATAAATGCATCCCTGAATCAACAAATCAGTCATCATTGTCATATCAATATTATTTTCAGTATTGAACAGTTTATACTGTATTTAAAATGTTTAAGTTTAAAAACAATCTCAAAACAAGAAAACAAGTCAATCAATTTCAAACCGATCCCAAATCAATTTCAAAAGAAATTTCAAAACAACGTTCATTAGCAAAATATGAACATAATTTTCAAAATTACTTGTACCTGATTAGTTGAGATGCAAGCGTGGGAAGTTTCTTGTTTTAAATAGCAATAAAAACAATGGCTTCATGCTTTGTTGTTGGGGACAATGGTGTTATTGAAATTAAAAACTTCTAGTGAAAACTCGACCACAAGAAAAAGTACAAATTTATGGGTTGGAGTATTTAAGAAATGGGCAGCATTAAGGAAGATCGGCGAAGACATGGAGACATACGAGGTTCAAGATCTTGACAAGTTCACAATTCACTTACAAATAAATTTTGCCCTCTGCGATTAACAAGTAATCACATAGTTCCTCATAAAATTAAGGTTTAATTTCAATTGTGAAACTTTGAAAACATGTGTGGAATTAAACCTTAATTTTACTCGACCCCATGCAATTACCTATACAAATTTCAACACAATATATTGCCCAAAATATTTTCAATTTACTTGCCTAGCTTGTGGGGCAGCACATTGGCATGCATACTCATATGATCTTCAAGTTCAGTGGCGATTTCAAACTCGGCATCGCAGACACAACAGATATAGCCAATACCAGTTGCATGTGTTGCTTCTAATTCCTTACAGACATCACATTGGTAGGACGTACCATGTGCTTTGGTCTTGTGCTGATATAAACTTTCAATATCGGGGAACTGTTTGTTGCATTTGTCACAGACAAAATAATCATCAATCAGTATCTCATTAACATGTGCTTGTCCTTGAATAATTTCTTTGCCACAACTGTTGCACAATAATAAACCTTCTCTTGAATACAATCTCCAATGACGTGTTAGACTTTGTTGTTGTGCGAATGTTTTTTTGCAGATACCGCACTCAAAACTCTTGTCACTCTTGTGTGCTGATATTTTATGTTGTGTCAAATTGCAAGACTCTGAAAATCTCTTGTTGCAAACATGACATTCATAAGGTTTGTCACCAGTATGTGTTTTTTTATGCATAGCTAACTTGCTCGATTGTGAAAATCTCTTTTTACAAATATCACATTCATAAGGTTTGTCTCCAGTGTGTGTTCTCTTATGAACCGCTAAGTTGCTTGAATTCAAATATCTTTTGTTGCAAACGTCACATTTGTAAGGTTTCTCTCCAGTATGTGTTCTTTGGTGGGTAGCTAAGTGGCTTGATCGTGAAAATCTTTTGTTGCAAAGATCACTTTCATAAGGTTTCTCTCCAGTATGTGTTCTTTGGTGGGTAGTTAAGTTACCTGAATGCGAAAATCTTTTGTTGCAAACATCACATTCATGAGGTTTGTTCCCAGTATGTGTTCTTTTATGGATTGTTAAGGAGCTTAATTGGGAAAATCTTTTGTTGCAAACATCACATTCATAAGGTTTGTCTCCAGTGTGTGTTCTTTGGTGGATAGCTAAGTTACCTGAAAGTGAAAATCTTTTGTTGCAAACATCACATTCATGAGGCTTGTTCCCAGTGTGTGTTCTTTTATGGGTAGTTAAGGTGCTTGATTGGGAAAATCTTTTGTTGCAAACATCACATTCATAATCTTTGTCTCCAGTGTGTGTTCTTTGGTGGGTAGCTAAGTTACCTAAAAGCGAAAATCTTTTGTTGCAAACATCACATACGTGAGGCTTGTTCCCAGTGTGTGTTCTTTTATGGGTAGCTAAGGCGCTTGATTGGGAAAATCTTTTGTTGCAAACATCACATTCATAAGGTTTGTCTCCAGTGTGTGTTCTTTGGTGGGTAGCTAAGTGGCTTGATCGCGAAAATTTTTTGTCGCAAACATCACATGCATAAGGTTTCTCTCCAGTATGTGTTCTTTGGTGGGTAGCTAAGCAGCTTGATCTTGAAAATCTTTTGTTGCAAACATCACATTCATAAGGTTTCTCTCCAGTATGTGTTCTTTGGTGGGTAGTTAAGTTACTTGAATGCGAAAATCTTTTGTTGCAAACATCACATTCATGAGGTTTGTTCCCAGTGTGTGTTCTTTTATGGGTAACTAAGGTGCTTGATTGGGAAAATCTTCTGCTGCAAACACCACATTCATAAGGTTTGTCTCCAGTGTGTGTTCTTTGGTGGTTAGTTAAGTGGCTTGATCGCGAAAATCTTTTGTTGCAAACATCACATTCATAAGGTTTGTCTTCAGTGTGTGTTCTTTTAAGTCTTAGCAAAGAGCTTCTCCGTGAAAATATCGTGTTGCACTCAGGCAACTCCCATTTCACAGGCATGGTTTCAGCTGTTGCCTGTTGATTTTTTCCCCGTACGGTCACACGCGCGATAAAATTTCGATTAAAAATATCACCCTACTGTTCGCTCGAGTGTCTTTCTTTCTTGAATCTTTATAATACTTCACTTTTTACAGAATTTCTGATCATAGAAGTAAGAAGTGAGAATATTCGGAGACACAGTTTACAAACGAGTGGAACAACACCAATACGAAAATACAGTATACCCTGCCTCGTACCCAGGCGTCTCTTTGTAAAAAAGCAGTGATGCCCATATGACGTGTTTACATGAAGTATTGTAGTGGGGAGAGATGGCGAAGGGGCTGATGGGAAGAGTGCACTTGAACTGCGAGACGCCTGGCAGTTCTTGG